CCTACAGCACGGCTGTGGATGACCTTATGTGGTCTTTGCTATTTTGAGAAAAGATCTTACCATGTAAGCCAGGCTGGTTTGAAGTCACGATTCTTCCACGTCAGTCTGCTGAGTACTGGGATTACAGGTGTGCATCAGCATACCTCACTTTTGTTTTTGTAGTAATAGTATCCTATTGTTTGTTCTCTCATCATCACCGTTAGCCACAAGTCTTGTGTTTAAATGCCTGTTCCACCAGCCATCCTCTTAGCTCCATGAGCTGGCCAGAGTTTCTGCCTTGTGCTGCACCTCACAGGATTGATGCTGTCAGCCAGCTTCACACCTTGTATGATTGTTTTGAGGGTTCAGTGAGGTCGCAGGTGTGTGTGCCTTGTCTAGGACCTGGCCCCAAGCATGCATGCATGCATGCTATGCAGCGGCTGCTACTAAGTGGAGTATGTGGTGTAGTAGCCAGTAGTGGGCAGTGTGTGTGATCTTACGTGAACTTGGAAAGTGCATTGTTTCTATTGAACTGTGCGCTTCAGGTCAGAGGAGGGCATGGTGGGTGTGCTGAGCGTCTGCTCCCAGCACTGTGGAGCTCCCTTAAGTCTGGGATTACTGACATTCTCCCTCCTTATTCTCTCCTCAGCTTCTCCTAAACAACATCAAGAAGCTGTCCACCATTGCCTTGGCCCTTGGAGTGGAAAGGACCCAAGTGAACTCCTCCCCTTCCTTACAGCTGGGGACTCTTTGGGCCCTGTGCAGTGGGGGTGCCTGGAGATGGCTTCTGCTTAATGAGAGAAGCCCACGGCAGGGGCCTTAGATGATGGGGTACAGAGGCTGAGGGGCAGGTAGACAAGCTTTATGTACTGCAGGACTGTGTTGAGGGGAAGGCTGAGGAAGAGGAAGGTGGAAGCAGGATGTCCTCTTGGAAGTCTGCTGGAAGGCAGCCACAGCCCTGGAGTAGACTCCCAGCCTGAGACCTGCCTTGGGCTCTGCATGGTGGAAACAGTCGTGTGAGTCATACTAGAGGCATGGAGAGCATTCAGTCCATTTAACACATAAGTCTTGGCTGTGAGCACAGTCTCATCAGACAATGTTCTGCCTACCTGGATGGAAAGAACTGGGGCTTGGGATGGGGGAAATGTGGGAGCTTCAGACCAAGAACCCCCGGGGGATCCAGACACTTGGGGTCAGAGTCCCAATGGGAGTTAGGTTCCTTCTTCTCTGGACTTGTTGCCTGGGATCCTCTCCAGTCGCATGTGGCAGGTGCTGTGTCTTTGGAAAAATGAGGTGCTGTCCACACAGAAAAGCAGAAGACTCGGCCTCACGCCTGCAGAACATGCAGGACTGGTTTTGTGAGTGATTACAGCAGCATGATTGTGGGCTAGAGCAAAATGCCAGGCTGGCATCTTAAACAATAGCAGTGTACTGTCGCAGTTCTGTAGGTTGTGCTCTGAGCCCTGGGTGCTTCTCTTCCTGTTGTGAGTCCTAGGTCAGAAAGGAAGAATACCCAAGATCGCTAGTGCCCCAGTCTGGCCTGCCTAGCCATGAGGCCTGAGATTGTGGCTGGGCTTGTCACTGTCTTCGGGTGGGAGCCGGGCACATGGGCTGGTGCTTGTGGGGACGCTGGGGGAGGGACAGCCTGCAAAGCCTCCAGGAGACAGTAGCTGAACCGAGTCTGAACAGATAGAAAAGGATTTTTGGCAGAGAACAGTGCTGAGAGTGTAAGCTGTACCTGAGCAGGAAATCTGCTTGCCACACTGTTGCATAGGATGGGACTCAGTCTCCCCTCCCTGAGGGGTGTAGAGTAGCCCTGTCACACATTGTTCTGCTACCCACCGCCAGCTCATATCTTTTCTCTGTGCTGGCCATATGGGAAAACTCTGGGTACTGACAGCTAGCTTGTGCATCTTGGGGCCGGGATCCCAGGGTGAAGGGGCCCCAGGAAACTGGAAGTGGCACTAAGCTCCAAGTGGTAGAACACTAGCCATGAGTAAAAGAGCTCAGGGACAGCAGCCAGGCTCTGAGTTCAAGGCCCACTACTGATTTTCCACTGCTTCCCTCCCCTGAAAAAAGTCATTATAACAAGGATCCATCTGCTTTAAAGGTTTCTCCACCAAGGCACTATCAGCTGTAAGAAGTGAGTAGTTAGGGATTTTAATGAAGTAGAAACAATGGGAAGGTAGATACAGTCTGGTAGAGACCTGACAAGGCAAGGTGTGTGCAGTGTACAATAGTGGCCACCATCATGCCAGGGCTCGGGTGTGACCCAGGAACACAAGTCACATGGTGCCTGTGCTAGGCGACAGTCAATGGTTACTCCCAGATCTGACCTGGTTTGAGCGCTTCCCCCAAAAACCTCTCCAGGACTTTCTTGGCCCTTCTGGATTCTGCTGTTTTGATCGCAATGACAGCAATTCACCAGACATGTGGTTTTTTGAGAATGGCGACCACAGTGTGGCCTGCTCTACCAGCAGGAGGTGCACAAGGGGTGAGGCTGGAGCCCCTAAGCTACGGATGCAGGGGGGGAGATTGCTATCCTCCCAGCCAGTTCACAAGCTGAGTCACACCTTTGTGTCACAACACATTTTTCTTGGAAATATTTGTCAGGAACGTCAAGTCATCCCCACGAGTGAGAGGTGAGAGTGTCTCATCCCTCCTTCATATTGAGCATAGTTACGAGGTGCTGCAGTGAATGAAGCCAAGTAAGGAGCTGGCTGTGAGCTCTGGCCGGCAGGTGTGTGGCGGGGGAGCAGGAGTCGGGAAGGGTCCGGCCACCGAGTGGAAAGGACACAGGGAACAGGAAAGGGATTGTACAAGATGGTGGCCCAGAACTGAGGGTGCTCAGGAAGAAAGGAGGAGACAGAGACGGAGACAGACATCCTGAATGTGTGACCTCTCAAGAAGGAAGGAGTCCAGGCAGGGCTGCATGTCAGCGTGACTACAGGAGGCTGTGCTTCCAGCAGACTACAGGGGTGTGTGGGGTGCAGAGCCTAACCTTGAGCTGAAGAGGTGAGGGAGAGACAGAACCTAGGCCCAGAATTCAAGCCCCATGACTGAGCAAAGAAAAAAAAAAGAGGAAAAGTGTGTGGAACATTGCTGAGTGCTGTGGGGGAGGGAAGCGCCGGGCGTGGGTTGCCTTGGATTTCGATCATGCTCAACACAGTGTCATGTGCTGGAGGGTGGGGTACTCCTGGGAAACGGGTGCTGAGAGGGGGTGTGGTGGAGGGCAGGGAAAGCCTGTGTCCCCTCACAAGGAAAGGAGCTGATGGAGGACGCGCGCTGCCCCTAGGCCAGGAGGCTAAGTCCATATCCATGCTCTCAAAGGTGATACAGACTGGGAGGATCTCTGGGGATGGGAATACCAGGGGTCAGGAGAGGACCAGGTGTGGGTGAGGTTAATGATGACACTAGACAGCTCCCCATGGAGCCCAGATCACGTGTGTGCTGGGTGGAATGACTTTGGGCTTGATTAATGGCGTGGGGTGTGGAGGGAATTTGGCTGATACAAGTGTGGGGGGAGGCAGTGCAGGGTCCGAGGGGCCTGTGGTTCAAGCCATTCTGTGGTGGGGTGGCTGTGGGAATTTCAGGATCAGGAGGAGAGCCTGGCTCAGAGCCCACAGTCCACTCAACACCCGGCATAGTCCCGGGATGGCTCCTGGAGGCAGGCCTGCCATCTGCTTGCATTCCTTTTCTGTGCCGATCCCAGGACTTGAACTCAGGGCCTGGGGCATGTCCCTGAGCTTTTGTGCTCAGGGCTGGTGACTGTCCCCGGACATCAGTGCTACTTCTGGCTTGCTGTCACCCTGCAATTCATTCCTGCGAAGAGAAGGGTGGAGGTGGAGTGCCAAGGACAGGAGGCTCCTCCTGTCATTGAGCACAGCAGCCCTGACCTGCACCCCAGAGGCTGTGGTAAAGTGACCTCATACCAAGGGACATGAGGAGCACTGCAGGAAATGTCACCATAGCCAAGCAAGGGACTTTCTCAAGGAGCCTTGGTGTTTGAAAAACAACTTTACATTAAAAAATATGCTTTTCATAAATACACTTAATGTCCTTGTTGAATTAGCAGAGAGTCTAGAGATATGTAACATACACCGTCAAGGAAAATAAAGAGTGGTGAAAATAAATTATGTGTAAGAAATAAGCACAGACAAGACTAAGGGAGTAACTGTCAGGAAGGAGCCTTGATGTTTGTGGTCAGAGCTACACCAGCAGGACTCCCTTCCTTCCTTCCTTCCTTCTTTCCTTCTTTGCTTCCTTCTTCTTTGCTGGCTTGCCATCTCTCTTCTCTGTCTGTCTCTATAGGTCTGTCTCTGTGTGTCCCTCATTCTCTCTTTCCTTCTTTGTGCCAGTCCTGGGGCTGGAACTCTGGGCCTCCATTCTATCCCTGGGATGATTTTGCTCAAGGCTAATGCTCTACCACTTCAGCCACAGCCCCAACTCCATCTTTTTTTTTTATTGGTTTACTGGAGATGAGAGTCTCAGAGAGTTTTCTGCCTAGACTGTTTTGAAATGTGATCCTTAGATCCTGCCTCCACAGGAAGTCAGAACACAGGCATCAACCACCAACACCCAGCTGCTATTTTATTTCCAACATCGTTCCTATCCAAAACAGAAAGGGCTTTAAGAATGATTTGCTTCATTGCATAAGGAACTATTAAAGACAGAAAGAACAAAAAATCAAAGACTCAAAATGGAATTAGGAAAACATGTTAGGTGAGTTTAACCAGTTTATCTTGAACTTGACATGACCACCACTTAATGGAGCAGATTCTCTGGAGGAAGTTGACATGATCTAATAAGCATTATTTCAAAATCTAACATTTTCACTTTCATATAGTTTTGTGGGCCAGCACAATAGAGACAGATGAACACACACACAGATATAGAGCACACAAATGGGCAGGTGTGGACATGTGTGCACACCACTATCTCTCAGCAGATGACTTTTATCTAGGTGTGGAGATTGTTGAATGGCCAAGCAAAGTTCAGCAGAGATGCAAGCTTGGTGGTCCTCAGGGGAGGACCACTTTCTTCTTCTTTGTGCAGGTGAAGAAGAGGCTACAGGAAGTGGAATGTCCGCTCATGAGCAGGAAAGGGCTGAGGGATGGGAAACAGCTCATAGCAAACACCCCTATATGGTGCAACACAGGGCTGGGGTTGTAAATCACAGACAAGGAAATCTGATAGATGCAGGACATGGTGTAAAAGGAGACAAAAGTAATCACCAGTAGGAAGATGGTTATGGTAGCTCTGGACTCGAGAAATGCTCTGGTGGAGACACTGGTCCTCTGCATATGTCCCATTCTCTGTTTGTGTCTGTACAGAACAAAGAGCGTGGAGGTGCTGGCCCAGAGCATGAGCCCCAGACAGAGAACATCAGGCACCGAGAGCATGGCCACATACAGCACATCAGCAGCAGGGTCGTGAATCACGGAAGAACAGTATCCATAGGCGTTTAAGCTTGTCATGTTGTAGCGTGCTTTGGGTCCGGTCATGTACATGAGAAAAACAATGCTCACCAAGAGGAAGACCCCCCAGCTGAGATAGACATTTGAGGCAATGTGCTTGTGGGCTCGCCACCTCAGCCCTGCCCACCTGGAGTCCCCCTGTCTGATGCTGACAGCAATGAAGATGCTCAGGGAGCAAGTGCTACCGATCGACACACCCCTGCACACTCGGTAAAGATAGAAGATCATTTTGCACCCCACATCATTGAAGAAATTTCTCCAGCCCCAAGCCACCATGGTTTGCGGAACACCCCTACACAGAAGACTTAGGAAGTTGGCCACAATTAAGTGCCTAAGAATTAAATCTGTGGCTCTCATCCTGTTCCCCATGCAGGAAAGGAATAGACAATTGGAGAGAAGATACAAATTACCCAAAAACCCAACCACAGTCTGGGCTAAGAGGATCACCCCCATAAACACATGGGCATCTCCCATCCTCTCTGTTCCTTGAGTCTCATCCAGAGGCTCTGGCTTGGGACACTGAGTCCTACACAGTGGCAAGGGAACTCAACATTCTCCATCCAGCATTCAGACCACTGGAAATACTCTCCTACTGTCTCTCATGTATTAGGAAAAATACAATTCTGTTCATCCATCGGGAAGAGGAAGATGGCATGTTCAGGGAAATGGGTGAACCTGGAGAAATGGCATTAAGGGAAAGTGAGTCAGGTTCTGAGATGAAGGCGGTTGCTTTTCTCCTCCATAGAATCAGATCTAATCAAGCAAGGCCCTAGTGGCTCAAGCCTGTAATCTTAGCTATTCAGGGGCCAAGACTTTTGATTCCCAATTCAAAGCCAGCCCAGAGAAGGAAAGTCTGTGAGACTCTTCTCTCCAGTTAAGCACCAGCAAACTGGAAGTAAACCTGTGGCTCAAAGTGGTAGAGGCCTAGCCTTGAGCAATAAGGGCTGAAGGAACATGGACAAGCCCTGAATTCAAGCTCTCTGACTGACTAAAGGAAAAATTTGAGGGGCTGAGAAGGTGGCTCAGTGGAGGAGCGCTTGCCTTGCATGCATGAGGCCCTGGGTTTGATTCCTCAGCACCACATAAGCAGAAAATAAAAGCTGGAAGTGGCGCTGTGGCTCAAGTTTTAGAGTGCTAGCCTTGAGCTGAAGAGCTGAGGGACAGCGACCAGGCCCAGAGTTCATGCACACGACTGGACCCAAAAAAAAATTGAAACATGGTGACACGTTCCCAGGATCACGTGCACTTATACCTCAATTCCCTGGGCATGAGAGTGGATCACAGGTGTCACACTTTTCTCAACACAGAGCCCACATTTCACAGAAGAAATACCAAGAAGATGAACCAGGTCTGCGGTGGGGATGGAGCGGGTGAAGGAGGAGGTGGATGGCAGAGATAGAGAAGGTGCAATTTTAGGTTCAAATACCATTCTAGAGTCGCTGATGTGAACACATCGTCCCCAGCCCCTGGACAATCAGGTTTCCTCCTCACTTGTCATAAACCAGGACAGTCTCTGTGAGGGAGAAGTAGTTAGGAACCAACAGGGCTTGGGGGTGAGGGGCCAAGAACCCCAGTTCCTTTCACTGCCCTAGCCCATTCCTACCTTCCTTGTGGCTTTGTCATGCACCCGGGTTGAATCTGGAATCCCTGCTCCTAAGGTGATCCCTTACGCAGAGTGTGGAACCTGGGGTCTCTCCTGCAGGCTGTGCCTCTCCAGTGGCAGTGAACACAAGTGCTCGCCTCTTCTCTCAGGATGTGCATGGCAGGGCGGTCGTTTCTGAGATGCACATGGGCACTTCAGAGCTGCAGAGGGCTCCTTAGATAGGAGTCCAGGAGGGGGGCAGCTGAGGTCGTCTCCCACGGGAGCAGTGATTTTCCCTTCACCTGGTGTGAGAAGCCAAGTTCTCAGTAAACTTTTTCTTTTCCCCCATGTGACAATTATCAAGACACTTTTCACTTTCTCGTGGGTGCTTCTCCAGGGGGAAAAGGAGTGGTGCAGTCACTTATCTCTCCTGGATCCCAGTAGGCCAGCAATAGACACTGAGGCCCAACCAGAAATGACTGTCTGTAAATAACCTCAGTGCTGTGTAAGCCATGTTTCCCCAAAATTCCTTACCCAAAGTGTCCCTTCCCTTTTTTTTCCCTGAGACTTGAACTCAGGGCTTGGGCACTGTTCCTGAACTGCTTTTGCTCAAGGTTAGCACTCTACCATTGGCACGACAAAACAACTTCTGGCTTTTTCTATGTGTGTGCTGCTGAGGAATTGAACCCAGGGCTTCATGCATACTAGGCAAGCACTCTACCACTGAGCCACCTTCCCAGCCCTCCTCATCTCAGTCTGCTTTTGTTTTATCATCATATATGTTGTTAGAAAACAAAAATGAAACCCTGTACTGATGCAATCTCAGGAGCCTGATATCAGAGAATCAAGGTTCAAAGCCAGCCTGGTGAAGAAAGCCCATGAGATTCTTATCTCCAATTCTTATCTCCACTGTCTGGTGGTTAGTGCCAACCTGCAACAAAAAAACTCAGCAACAGCATCCAGGTCCACAGTTCAAACCACTGGACAGGCAAAAAAGAAAGGAAATAAATGAGATATATCTGTGCAGAAATACCTTTGGCAAAAATGGCTATTTTTTCTAAAAATGTTTTCATCCCTAGAGACCCCATTTGGAGATTAGAGGTAAGCATTTCATGCATATTCATGAAAGCAAGGGGACGAGTGATCTCTTTTCATGCCTGTTCGTTATTGGGGAGTTAACTTCAATCTCTAAGTCCCTACTCATTTTCATCATTTTCAGTGGTGATTTTGAAGCAGGAATTTGTCACTATGCTCAGGAGAGGATCAGTAGTGACTCCTTGCCCTGGGTATCTGGTCTACCTCATTGCATGTGACTCCATTCCTCACCTGGACCCTTCTGGTCTTCCTGACAATTCCTTGCCCTATTCTTGTCTGTTTCAAGAAGATGCATTTGCCTTTCTGTGTCTGACTTCTTGCATTTTCCACAGCGATCTGTACTTTCACAGATGTGGCAGCAGATGACAGGATTTCCTTCTTGTTCCTGGCTTAGTCTTAATTTTTGATGCAAATAGGCTACATCTTCTTTATGCATTCATCCAGATTTGGGCCTGTGACTCCACTACTCTGAACCTGCCAGATTTTGCTCCAGACGACCATATCCAGTGTCACTTGTTGGGAGCTGACAGCAAAGTTTAAAGGTCATCTTGACCCTGATGCTCACTTGAAGGCATGTACAAAACACCAGTTGCCCGGGATTGCTTTGCAAGGTTTGTAGAGTTTGTTTTACTTTCTACCAGTTGACCTTGTCTTGTTTTTACTGCATTCTGTTTTTACTGAAATGTTCCTTGTTTTTCTGGACTATTGTAACCTTATGTTACCTCTTGAATTCTAATAGTATATATTAGGGAAAGTTAAAATTAAATGTTGCTGCAGTCTTGAGCTACAGACCTCCGTACCCCATTCTTTGTCTTAGGTCTTTATTTTTCTGCATCCTCCCCCCCTAATTCAGGATTCCCTTTCATTGCCAGCAGACTCCGGTAAGTGGTGCCCAAACAGGACCCTGAAAACCTGGGATCAAGGCAGAGGACCACGCTAAGGTAAGAGGACTTCCAGAACCATAAAATAGAGAGTGGGAGAGAGTATAGTCGGGAGTAAGAAACTATGGGGCAATTAACAGCCACACGCTGTATTTGCAGGCTCTCAAGGGTATGCATCAAGCTGGAGGAGTGAAAGTTAGACGTAGTCATTTGAATGTTTCTTTCACTTTGTTGAGGAAGTATGCCCCTGGTTCCGGGAGGAAGGAACCATTAGTTTAGAAACTTAGCAAAAAAAAAACAAAAAACAAAAAACATTCAGGGACACTATGATGCAAATGCCCTGTAAGTTAAAGCATTTCTGCTTTGTAATTGTCTGGTATCTGTGTAGCCTGCAGGTTCTGTATTGGCGTTGGCAAGAGGTCTTGGCAGAAGGGCTATAAGACAGCCAACTGGGCCGGTGGGAGCCATCCCCCAGATCCCCATCAGGGTAAACTATCCACTAGTGGGGACATTTGGGCCCTTCTGTAGTCCAGCACTTTCTGTCTGACAGTCTACAACGCACATGCTTAAATTTTTTTTGTCTCAATGTTTGTGTGTATGTATTCTGGAATTCTTGGAATGTTTCTTCTCTCAGATTCATCCTGATGCTAAAGCCCAGAGGAGACTGGCTAACACTCCCTTTTAATATCTGTTTCTCTTAGCTCTTTTTTACTTACACTTTAAACTGACCCCCCTTTTCTACCCTTCATTGACACTTCCTCCACCCTCTCTGGATCCAGAAGTAGGGGGAGTTCTGTGGGGTGAAACACCTGGAGGATGTAAGAATAACTTAAAAGAGCTGGCAGGGAGATCTCGCAGCAGGATGAGAATGCCACTGACCACCTGCAAGTGACACCAGCTACATCTTAGCCTAGGGCCTTGGCCCAGGGGGTCTGAGTATGGGGGAGAACCTGTCAGGCTGAAGGGAAGGCCACTAGGGACTTCTTTCCCTTGCCTCAAGATGACTGGGAATTCTCCTCTGACTTAGAAGGCCCCTGGGTCAACGTTTGAAGGAATCTATAAAAAAAATCCTCCGGAGGTGAGTAGAAAGGGTTCCAGTCCCCTGGTAAGTGGATTTGAGTCCCACTTGTGAATGGTGGTGAGATGTTGCCCCATTCACTGAGACCTGATTTTGTCTTCGTGGCCACTTGTTTGTCTTGTTTACTTCGGTGTGTTTTCTGTTCTATGTTTTCTGAGGTAAGGATAAACTGGGGGCCATTATCCCCCAACTCAGCCTTTGGTTGTTGTCTTGTCTACTTCTGTTTTAGATTTGGTACTAGTTTCAAATGTATGTAAAACTGATTTTGATTTTTGTATGCTTTAAGATCTGTGTGTTTTGTATGTGTTTGTCAACATGTTAAAGATAAAGATTATCAGCATGCTGTAACAATTGGGTGAGTTTAAATTTAAAAGGTTATGAGGTTTAGACATCACCAAAAATTGTTAAGAATTTTCACATTGCTTTGAATGACCTTTTAAGGATTCTTTAACTTAAAAAAATCTGGTATTTTAAAATGCATAAGGCTGTTTACACTGTAATCAAATTACCTGGCCTAACAAAAATGTCACCGTTACTCAGAAGAGTTGATTTGGGACTCAAAGTGGCAGAGTGCTAGCTTTGAGCTGTAGAGCTGAGGGACAGCACTCAGGCCCCAAGTTCAAGTCCAGCGACCAGCTAA